AGATGAAAGAAATAAAATAGAATATCTTCCCAAACTGAAACACATTTTTTCTATCAATACAAAGAAAAGGTGACAATCGGTATTAATTTCAACTTTCTCGTCGAAAAAAGGCTATTCCCCCACCCCCAAAAAAGACAGAGCAATATTTACCTAAAGAAACTAGAGCTAGATTCCAACCTAAAAAGGAAGAACTAGAACTTAAATTTACATTGTAGAGACAAGTTTGGTTAGTCCATATGGTGAAATCCATTAATCTCAAAAACAAAAAAAAGGACAACAATGTGGTATGACACATGCAACACAGATACAGGGGAGGGCGTAAGTAAGAATGTTGTTTATCAATTAATATTTAATATCATATCTAAGAGAGACCCAAAAATGACATTATGAAGAAGGAAGATTGAGTTCTTACCATTTTGGGGAATAAATGCACACTCATTGCCCTTCTTCAATGTTATTTTGTGGTCTTCTTGAGGAGTAATACTTTGTATACTAATTACACAGAAAAACCTCTGAATCCTCATTTCATCTCCTTGCTCTTTTGTCCAAGTCAAATCTCTTCCTATATCTCTTTCTCAGCTATTGCGAATTCAGGGGGAGTGTGGGCATTCCTTTCGCGTGTTGGCTCTCCATTTCCAGTAGCATTAACGATTTTTGCCTCTGATATCTGTTTCTCTTTGCTGCAAGCGCTGCGCGACACATACAAAGAGAGGAGGATAAAGAGAGATCAAGATTCAAGAATGTTCTCAATCTTCTTCAACAACGTAAGAATTTTGCGGATTTTTTACTCACATGTTAGATCGTGAGGAGGGGCAAAGTCGTAATCGTGTCTTCCTCTCCAGATGCAGCACAAGTAAATGACCAAGAGCACAAGAATGAATATCACCACACAAGATATGGCTATGGCTATTTTACCCCCTTTGGATAAGTGGCCATTCTCCCATAACAGAGGACACGAAGGAAGAGCAGGTACACCGCATAATCCTTTGTTATCCGAGAGACTGTAAAAAAACATGGAGATCATTGTAGTTGACTGCAGGCTTAATAGATCCAAGAACAAAGCCAGGGATAATGAAAAGGAATGTAAATTTGCCATTGATAGAACAGATAGAGACTATTATTATATGTGGCCTTTAAAATTAACATACTCGATAGTGCCACCATGAACACCAACTGAATAAACTTCCTCTGGTACCTTTCCTTGCAATTCGTTACCATTCAAAAGCCTGACACATCATAAACATATCAGTCAGGGTTTGTGTTAGTATTGTGCATACTATACTTATTATTCATCTAAAAAGAAAAAGGCCAATCTAGTTCTTTTAATTTGAATCGATATTTCCCCATGTGCATCTCGATGAACAGTCGCCTGTTGTTCATATGGAGTGGAGAAAATAAGATAGAGAGAACAGTTTAGTTAAAATAATGATATGAAGCAGCTTCTTACACGAGCTTCAAGCTTGAGATGGACAGACTTTCAGGTATTTGTCCCGTCAGCTGGTTGTTTGACAAGTCACTGCAACCCAAATAGGTAAATAAGCACAAATGTACAGAGCCACAATTATTTCTTAAGTTGGTCTAAACCATCCTCACACTCCAATATCATTGTTTTATTGTCATCTGTTTTTGGGCTCAAATTAATTAAATGTCATCTTAAATGATACATTTATCAGAAACTATCTACAATTTGAATCAGAAACAAGATACAAAATCTACGATAAAATTAGGCAACTTATCATCATCTGAGGTGTGTTCACTTACAGACTCACGAGGGATTTATGACCAAGACCTGAAGGTAGTGGACCAGTTAAGGAATTTGAACTCAAGTTCCTGCCGGCAAAACAAAAGAAAAATTCATAAATGCCTTTGCTCAGTGAATATGAGATAATCGAGCTAATTTGTGTCTCTAAAACAGAATCACTATGCAGACACATGAATCAACATGCATCCAATTGCATTAAATGAGCTATGAACTCAGAGATAAATAATACCAAGTCAATAGTTGATACTTACAGGCTATTCAAATCTGTCAGCAGACTAATTTGTTCACTGATAAATCCTTTTAAGCCTTGGGTTCCAAGGTCTCTGAAACAGGTAAAAAACAATCGAGGCAACTCCCACTTTAAGAAGTACACTATATAACAACACATTAACAATAAGAAAGTTTAT